ACATTTTCGCCTTTTCATTTTTAGTCTTGGCTCCTTCATAATTGGTCTACGTCTTCCGTCGCGGTCCGGACCCCCCCCCCAAATAATTGAATTATTTCATATATTTCGATTTCAAATACGAAAAATATATAATTATTTCATACATTTTGCTTTCGCCCTGGGTCATGTACCACTAAGCAATTCCGCTACGTTCCGACGCCGTCGGTCGCGGGTTCGAACCCCGCATGGATCACCACAAACAGCCCTGATTCATTTCGAACTTGTTCGCAGCGACCGACCCTGGGTCCATATTTTTCACTTCGTTCCTACGCGCTCATCGAGCGTTTCTTGGACGCGCGCGCCAGCGCTTTCCGCTGCAACGTTCGGACGCATGCGCAAGGGAATAGGGCCTTACCATAATACTCTATTTGTAAAAGTTATACGCATGAGCGCGTCGCAGGTTCAATAGTTGTGTTTGATACTTTGATAGAGTACATTTATGTGGCGCGCCAGCGCTTTCCGCTGCAACGTTCGGACGCGTGCGCAAGGGAATAGGGCCTTACCATAATATTTATTTTTTATAGCTATACGCGTGAGCGCGTCGCAAGTTCAATATTTGTATTTGATGCCTTGACAGAGTACATTTGTGTGGCAACACTGCGTTGATAAAGCTTCAACCTGTTTGATGCGTTGAAAGATCTGCATTTATTTGGCGACACTGCATTGATCTATTTTCGACCTGCATCTTTTGACATACATCCACATATGTGCATTATTCATTCTGGCTTGTTGTGACTGCGCCGGTCACTTGCTCCATGTTTTGAATGCCCTTCTGCTCGAGTTGCCTTTTGCAACTTCAAAAAAAGGGTCTTGGCATTGTTGGCAGTTGCGAGACAGCTTCGTGCGGACTAGCATTATCGGGCTGTACGGTGTTTTTTGCAAGCGTCATGGACATCGCACAATATTGTGTGTAAATTGGAGACAGCTTGTTGCAAAGAAGCATTATGAAAAGACAGAAGTTTCTTTGCAAGCACGAATTTGGTTTTCTCAAAGTTGATTGTGCCTTAATCAACTCGATTTTCAGTTCCTCACCATAGCAGTCCTGCTGTTGCAGCCATTTTGCCACTTGCGTGTGGCCCAGCAGAGGTGCAGCTGCTTCCGGGGGTCACAATCTTGAAGTCATAAATAGCCGAAATAATGCTAAGCACGGTGTATATTCGCGATATCAATTTTGCTTTCCAAAATTTCCAAAGTAATGCAAATATTTTCGGTTCTCATGGTGCGGAATACCGGAGTTTTTTCTGCCGATCGTTTGCACTGTTTGTTGTTTGCCTTCGTGGTTTTTACCGTGGATTTGTCCGGCTACACTGGAAGGCGAAGCTAAAGCCCAGGGAAATTGCTACCTTGCCCTAGCTGAAAATATACGATTTATTACTTATCAAATATGTGCTAAAGTATTATAATCTATATGATATATTTGTACACTATATTCAGGAATATGCTTACGGCATAGTGCCTCAGACCTCTCGAACAAGGGACCGAGCTTAGCGTATTTCTAGATGGATTTAGGTTGGATTCTGAATCTAGGTGTCCTGTCATCCCTGCTGCCGTGCCCGCCCTTGGCTGGCTGCAGGCGACGTAGCGGGTCGCCAATTGATACTAGATTTGTCTGGGGCTCAGACGAAGTCCTATGCTGCGACGAAGCTTCACTACATTTCATAAGGTTTCGAGCTGTTCATTTAGGCTTAGAACAAAGTAGAATAGTCCCCATTGATGAAGAAATCTATTTCAAGGTATTGAAATAATTTGCAAATTTGATATTGGCTCTGCCATAGGCACCGGGCAAAAGGGTGGGTCGCCCACTCACGCCGGATCTATTTGGGAATCAGAAGAAGTCCTCTGTTGAGACGAAACATATTCATAAATGTATATATATTTACGCCAAAATTCTAAATCGATATAGATAATATATTAATATCATTCAAGCTCACTAAATATAATTTACAGAACTTCAAAGCGATAAAAACCATATTCAATTTATTCCAAAGCAAGTTGGTGGATCGCCAATTGACACTAGACCTCTCTCAAGCTCAGACGAAGTCCTGTGCTGCGACGAAGCGTCATTATATTTCATAAGATTTCGAGCTGTTCATTTAGGCTTAGAACAAAATAGAATAATCCCCACTTATAAAGAAATCAGTTTTAAAGGTATTAAGATAATTTGCGATTTTGATATTGCCTCTTCCACAGGCACAGCGCAAGCGGGTGGGTCGTCAACCAACGCCGGAATTTATTTGCGGGTCAAAAGAAGTCCTTTATTGATTTGTTGAGAAGAAATGTTACTATTTAATGTTGAAGTTTTCATGTAAACTTATACACTGCAAGTAAATGCAAAGAATTCGTAGATACATATATATTTATACCAAAATATTGAATCGATATAGATAGTATGTCAATATCATTCCAGCTCATTGAATATATTGAATGTAGTTTACAGAAGTTCAGAGCATTTGGCCCTATTTTTGCATTGCTCAGACTCCGATCAGTCCGGATCCTTTGATTCCATCGCTCAGCTCTCAGGAAGCGACAGCCTGGTTGAAGCGTGAGTGTCGCGTAGCAACCCGACTGCAGCTCCTGAAGTGGCAGTCCGGCAACAGCCATTCGGACGTGTATCCATTGGTCAATCTAAATGATCAATTGCAGTGGATTTCTGGCAATTCTGGCGCAACGCTCTGTGATCTGGGGCACTAACCTGTGTCCTGCTCGCATCCGCCACAAAGGCTGCTGCAAATGACAAGGAATTTGAAGAAAATGATCGATGAGATCTGCAACAGAACCGGGCGGCAGCGAGTGCCGCTGTCGTGGCCGGTCACAGAGAATGTGCTCTATTATTGTATGAAATTCATTAATGCGATGAATGGAAGCCAGACCCATGTTCCCTATTGACGGCCAAGAAGGAAAAAAGGTCCGTGGTTTGTCGTTTTGTCAATTCCTTTATTTGTTAATCTATCGGTTTCGAATTTTGAGGATCGTTTTTTTCCGCTGTTGGAAACAGCGGGCCGACCCTGGTGTAATATAATATTAAATCTATATATGGGTATGTATTTTTTTACCGTAGTCGGGCCGGGCCGGGAAGTTTGAATAGGTGGTATGATTCGAGGGTATAATTCGGAATATAATTCGGGAATATGATTCGAGGGTATAATTCGCAAATGATTCGCAGCTTTGAAATTGTATTGTAGGATTAAATAGATTTCCAGCAGTGGGTCCACTGCGCCGAGCAGTAGGCAAACAGCATCTATTAGATGTTGGTTCGATGTTAGCCAGACTAGGCAAATACATTCTTCCCCCAAATATTCCAATAGTCCTTTCTAAGCCCTACCAAAACAACCAAGATGTGAGATGGATAAGAAATTGTATAAAGACGCGTAATTCGGGTATAAATTAGATATAAATCGGATAGGGTTCGTATAGCCATTAAATTCTGCAAAAGAAAGAGGTCCCTTTAAAAGAAAGCACACGAATATATTATAAAGATTCCCTCAAAAAAAATATAGATAATTATAAATAAATTAAATGCCCATAAATCCCATCCAAAAAACCTCGTCCTCACGTATAACGTATTAAAAAATATAATTCGGAGATATAATTCGCAATATAATTCGAAGGTATAAATCATTCAAATCGAATTTCCAACCATTACATCAAGAAATACACGCCCAAAAAATACAAATGTTCCTATAAAATCTATAAATAAATCTAAGAATATGAATTTATATATATATATAAATTTCTATATTTATAATATTATCCAAAAATTCTTATAAGCCTATTCCGAATTATATATATATTATTTTTTCTTTTTTTCAATTAAATTAATTTATATTTAGAAATTTAATTTATATATATTGATATTTTAATAATAATCATTCATAGATTCATCATTAATATATTCAATATATTTTCATTAATTAATCATCTTTGATTTGGGCACGATTGATTAAATATCGGAATTTTGATAAGGATCCAATAAGCAAAAGAGTCGTTGCCTTAAATCGAACAAAAATCGTACAAGAAAACCACGAAATCAAGTTGAATCAAGCCAATCAATTCTGTGCAATGGCGTGAGTCCAGTCACAGGTATAGTGGTGATTGTTCCCAATGTCCCCGCAAGTAATATGAGCCAAGCTCCATCTATATACCTCAGCCAACGATCCAAGCTGCGAAATCTTCGCGCGTCGCCAACCAAGAAGGAATTAAGGCCAGTAGATTTAAGCACAGCCTTCCGTTGCTTCCAAGTTACCACAAACGTTTCAGCATGACTATGCTCCACAGCAGCACCGGCCTTGCTTGAGGTTGGGAAGATCTCCCCAAGACTTGTCACAGTACGCCATAATGATGTGGCTCAAAAATGGTGACTGCGACCAGTTGGCTGTGGTTCTTGAGCCAACACGGTCATCTGCCACCATTGTTGGTTTGCTCTTACACACAGTTCACTGTGTTTCAACAAAATGTTACTGAATGTTTAAAGACGCGCACCACCACAAAACTGGTTTTTAGAGATGGTTTCTAGAATCAAACTGGACAAATCTCAGCTCAGTTGAAGACCCTCGCACCACCACGGCAATGATCGTGTCAAAGCCGGAGATGAGCCTAGCTTGACAAAAATATGAGTCGTGTCTTAGACTGAACAGGAACTGATGATTAGGTGATTCATTCCTACTTATGCACAAAAGTGTGGAATCACATATATTCATTCAGGGCCATTGCTTCCCTCAAGCACTCTCCAATGGCAGCAAGCCACCAAAGTATTGGCAAAGAAGGTAGGTAGGAATCCTCAGAGAATGGAATGGAGCGTATGGAGCGTGGCAGGAGGCAGCTGCACATGAGTTCTGTCAAACCAATCACGGAATTCTGCAAAACTATTCGATGACTTCGGCAAACAAATCCACAAGGCCGCTAGGCCTATTCCCGAAGAAAAAGCCAACCCTCTGAAACAAGACCCAAACAAAGTGTGCCCGATAACGAATGTGTAAGTCATTCCCAGTTTCACTATCAAACCGCAATTTGCACCCAACGAAAAGTACACGGCCAAATAGAAACACAACAAGCCTCGCCACACAATCGCTCGCAAAAGGAAAAAGGACCAAAAGACCCGGAGCGATTCCGATTTTTTCCTCCTTTTCACTTCACGTGTCTTCGCTCTTTTTCGAGGAATGATGTCGTCACACCCTGCAAACGAGGCACGTCAAAGGTTCAGGCCAACGGGCTTAGGAGGTTGGCAGCGAAGCCAAACAAGTGAAAACCAAAGACCATCCTCAGTATTGTCGGCCCCCTTCACGGCAAAAGCAGTTGGGTAAAGCAGTTTAGGACTTGCCTCCCTAAGAGAAGTTTGCAATTTTGGACACCACTTCTGACTCCTACACGATCGAATGACTCTCACTTGTTCAGCATTGAAGCCGCTTCGAGCAGCTGCGCGCATTTTCCAAGCTCGAAAGGGCATGGGGATACGAGCTAGGTCCAACAAATCAGAATGAGACTGGTGTGGGATCCCTCCTCAAAAACTGGCCGCAAGGGGTTCCCTTCGCGCGAAGCTCAATCAAGAGCCCAACTTAGAAGATGAACAATGACAAATGCAAAACTAAAATGAACACCCAATGGCCAAACGGTGGAATCCTTTCATATGAGCGATCAGCGATGGCGGGCGCGTGCCCGGCCACCCCAGAGCATCCACTCCAGGGTGGGTGGGTAGGGAGCTTTGCCTGGCAAAGCTTCACGAGAGGAGTTCTAGCCAAAATGCCATCTCCATGTCCGACAGCGGTTCGCGCACCTTGGTCGAGCTGGTAGCCCGAGGCTTCGGCCTTGAGCGTCAGAGCTTGACGATGAGGTAGCCACCGAGCTACCTCACCCAGGCCGCTTACGATCAGCGATGGCCACCATTGCACCGAACATGTAGAGTCTCCATGGGCGGACAGAAATTGGTTTGACAGATGGAGCACCATAGGAGCACTGCGATCAAAGTCCACGAACATGCCCGAGTTGCAGTCTTCAATGCCAGCAGAGGGGGTGTAGACCAGAGCAATCTGAAAGCTTCTGCGGAAACAAGTTAGTTGCCAAACAGGACCAGACATTTCCTCTGACAAGCTATACAAACCCATGGGCTGGTCAGCTGACTGCAGGGGTGCGGGCTGAGGAGAAGGCGTTGCAAGGTGTGCCACAATGGACAAACCGGATTCCTTCGGCTCTGACAAAAGTAGGATGTTAAGGTACTCGAGCGCAACCAGGAAGGCACGCAACTTGTCCCAAATTAGTAATTTTACTAACCATAAAATTTACGTAAGTTTTTGGTTTTACTAAAGAAAATTTACGTAAAAATTTGCGTAAATGTAATAGTAAATCCAATTTAGGTTAGGAGTAAATCCAATTTAGGTTATGAGTAAACATTTTTAGGTTATGAGTAAATTTTTGTGAGCGTGATTTTGAAGCAGAAAATGTCTCAATTTATGTGAGTTGGCTTTGTCCAAAGAGGCAGGTTTTCTACAGGACAACATGTACTCGAGGATATTTGCGCTATGGATTTTTGTTTTTGTTGACTGAGCATGCCAGGAAGTGTGGACTTTGCCTTTACTTAAAGGGATTGCATGTACTTGAGCATGTGTACCCTTCTTGACTTGAACAAAACCTTTCTACTTGAGGGTGTCTACTTGAGGGAGGAAATCTACTGAGGATGTATACTTTTCTTCACTTTAGGAAGAAGAGCATTCTCTGATTCTCTGATGGTTCCTTATCCTCCTGCAACCCTTCTGCCCAGCCATGAGCTGCTGGTTTCTTCTTTGGCTGTTCGGTCTCTCCACTTGCAGCACGCCTTTTCAAAGGGTTGGCCTTTGCCTTTGGTTTGCCCTTTCCTTTTGTTTTTGCTTTGGGACTCTTTCCTTTAGAGCTCTTTGCTTTTGGGCTCTTTGCTTTGGCAGCAGGTTTCTTCTTCACAGGTGTACTGGGTGATTTTTGCTCAACCTCTTCCTTCTCTTCAGGTGTGACTTGGCCCATAGGAATTTCTTCGTCTGCCATGCCAACAAGCTACTGCACATATAATCAAAACTTTCAAAGCTCTTTGAGATCAATCTAGCTGCAAAAGTAAACAACAACCAATAAGCCAGCTACGCAGTAAACTCTCAACAACTTCAATTTGAACAACATACAATCCTGATCAACTCTTTGTGCAAAAGCATTACATTCTCAGATAAAGGATAAACCCACAAGACTGCTAGGTATGTTTTTGTTGACAAGATGATGCAGAACATCCTAACTTTTCATAAAATCTACCAAAAACCTGTATGAATTTGTGATGCACTTTCGATGCACTTCTGATGTACTTTTGAAAAGTGTATACACTTTTAACGAAATCTATACACTTTTGACCAAAAGTGTATACACTTTTAAAAAGTACATCAAAAGTACATCAGAAGTACATCAAAAGTGCATCAAGAATTCACCAACATTTTATCTTAAATTTTTAGTTTTTGAACTAAATTTCATAAATACATATCAAATGCACTTCAACTCACAACAAGACAACACACACTTCCAAGTTGAATGGCATCCTCATGTAAAGTGTACTTACACAAAGTCTCAACCTGAAGTAAAACACACTCAAGTAAAACCATCCTCAAGTAAAAGCAAGCTCACATCCTCAAGTAAAAGAAACCGCAAGTGAAATCACATCCTCAAGTAAAAGCTTCTCAAGTAAAGTCACACCCTCATGTAAAAGCTGCTCAAACAGCCAACTAGTGACCAAAGGCCTTCAAATGGCACAGGTGCATGTCCAACTGCGTGATTATTTTGCCACTGAGCAAACGCCATTGTTTAATATGACCTCGAAGACACATTTCTGTATACACAGCTTTCTTCTTTCAAACTCGATACACCCCTCAGTCACATGGCGCTTCAAAGGAGAGGAAACAATGAGGGCTGTACAGACCTTGATGAAAAGCTGCCTTGCAGGCAACAAGCACTGGGGGGCAACCAAGGTGGCCAGCCTCAAGTACAGGCACCTGTTGCACCTCAGGAAAAACAATGCTTAAGTTAGAGGAGGTTTTCTGGAAAAGCAGCTGCCCAAAAAGTAGCAGCCCAAACACTGTGTGGCCACATGTTCTTCCAAATTGGAACTGCGTTTACCTGAGTACGTCTGCTTTTCTGTTTCACCTAAGTCATTTTGCTTGCGCTTGTCTTTCCTGCGTGCTTATACCTGAATGTGTGTGCTTGTGCTTTTATCCAAGTGTCTCTACTTGTGGCTATATGTTTTACACATTACTTTCTTCAAGAGATGTGTTTTAGATGCAGTTTTTAATATTTGCAGATCAAAAAGTAAAGAGAAAATAGGAAAACCCTTAGCGAAGACCAACCAATTTATTTAGGTTGTACCTAAATCGAATTTACATTTACTAACCCATTTACACTTTTTGCCACCTAAATTCATCAATTTACGTAAATCCAATAAAAAATGTAAATTTACTAATATCGGTGACTTAGGGTCAGACGCAGCACAGCCTGATCAGGGCTGACTGATCGTCACAACACGGAGAAGATCCTCCGCATTCTTGGTGAGGCCACTCTTCTGAGCGTTTCCTTTACGAGCGGGCTCTCACCCGCTTCGTGGAATGGCATGAACAAGGAAAGCACGCCTGGATCCGCTCCACAAACTTGCGACGAGGTTCACGATGGTGAGGCAGAAGGGCGTGCTCACGGAACCCGGCACGGTCGTTCACAGGGATGTCAGGAACTTTGGACGGGTCTTCTTCCAGACTGCCAAGGAAGTCACGGCGAGTTCTCGCCGAGCGCGGCGAAGGCAGAGGGCAGCCGGGAGCCGCTGACGACCGAACACCAATCGAAGGCTCAGCCCTGGAACAGGGGCAGGATCACTGTAATCACCGCATGGGGCGTTGATAAAGAACTCGATCGCACTGAGCTCCAAATCATTGGCATCAACCAACATTGCGTCTTCATCATCCACGACCGGGTGTTCTGCCAACTAGATCACGCACGAGCTGCTTGGCCATGAGTGCTGGGACTGAGGATCGACTCCTATAAATAACAGCGTATTTGAGCGACAAGCGGACCTAGGGTTTTCCGGTTCGGATGCAAGCCGGTCTCTTCAGTCGACCGTCCGGCGTCCACAGCCGCATCGAGCAAGGTGACTCGGCAGGAGCGCATGGTCAACTTGTTGATCTCGCGAGCGCGTTTGACGATGGTCGCTGAACACTTTCATCCACCGCCACGTCCGCGCAAACGATGTGATCGGATTTGAACAGGTCGGGGTGTCCAGAGGTGAACGTGCGCCAGCCTTCCTCCAACCAAGGAATCCCGAAACCCGATGTCGGGAGCGAAGCGAATTAATCTGATCCACCTTGGTCTGCCACGCCATGCCGAAGAGGCCTTCATGGGCGAACATGTATGGCGTCGTCGAGACCCACGTCACACCACCTGAAGTTTGGCAGAACAGGAGGGTCACACTCGGTCCCATCCAAGGCGAACAGTACAAAGGAGTAACCCGGTCCAGAAAGAGTGAAGCTCCATTTCGCGCACCGCTTGAAGGACTCGATGCGCGCAGCCATGGTCCGGTGCGCCTCAATGTTTCAACTGCAGGCGTTTGCCCTCCAACATGAAGTTTCGGCCGACTCCTGCAAAAGTTTCGCGAACGCGCAAGCTCTCGCGCCTATCGCCTTGAGTCTTGAGGCCCACTTCCACTTCAGGTTCCTCTCCTTGTCGAGGGGTGGGGTTGAGGACGACGATTCGTTCGAACTCACCTTGACCTTCTTCGGAGGTCTCACCAGGGGCTTGAGCAAAGAAGCGGTCGCTGACTGCTTCCTCAACCCTGCCGCCGGATCCAGCTTAACAGGCAACCCGAGCTGAAGGGATGTAGACTCAAAGTACACCATGGCGAAAACAAATGCGACGCTGCCATAACGCGAACACCTTATCGCCTTTTCGAAGGACCCATCGAAAATAGGTAGCGACAGCGCTTTCGCCACGAACGTGTCCAAGGCAGCCTCACTCGTCGAGCTAGTTGTTCGTGATTCGAGCCAGGCGACTTCTCGTTCGCGCTGGACTAGCAAAACATCGAACCAGATAAGAGGCCGTCCCGGGCGTCACGCCATCAATCCTGGTCCCGCGAAAACGTCCGCAAAACTTGAGGGCCCCTCCCCCCACCAAAAAGAAAACCGGAAAAAAGGAGGGGCCAGCCCGCGCGGGACCACCACCCCGGCTAGAACTCGCCCGGCCCGAAACCGTGCTGAGAGACCGACTTCAGGTGGCTCGAGAGGCACAATCGAACGATTGAAACAGCTCTGTTAAAAGACAAATTCACAGTTGATCACCTCAACTGAGTAATAAGCACGCAAATGCACAAACTTTGGTCAAAAGTTGAGTAACTCGCAATTTTTGGCATCAGGTGAGATCAGCATCGCGCAAGCAATGTTGACACACTTGCAACCCTACGGCGGGAGCGATCTGAGGACCCACAACCCTCTCTGAGGCACTTAGCCTCACGCGAGTGCTCACGCACGACAGACTGAAAAGCGCCGATCGGCGAGCTCGGGCGACTGATCGGCATGCCTCACGCCTTTTCTTCATCACACTGAAGAGCTCCGATCGGAAGCGATTGCGTCGATTAAAGTTGAGCGTCGCTCTCAGACTTCAGTTGAGTCTGGCTTGGGCGGCGCAAAAGAACGTGGTCCTGACACCTGATCGGCTCCCGGCGCATCCGGGTTGATCACCTCAATGGTCACGTGGGAATCCGGCCGCCGCTCTTCATTGGCCAGGCGCGTGTTACTGCTTGGACAAAGGCATTGTCATGGCCTTCAGCTTGTCCGCGACATCAATCCATCTGGGTAATGGCTCATCACCTCCCCAGTCAGGGAGTCCAGCGAAGGCATGGGGCCTGATTGTAGCTGGTCATCGCGCCGACCAAAATCTGTCCGCTCGGACATTGATCCCCGCCAAGGCGTTAGTCAGCATGTCATCCAGAAGCCATCCCTGAAAAGCGCTCTGCACCCGACGAAAACCAAAATCTACTGCTCGCCTTTGCCTGCACCAACCTGGGACAGGTGGTCTGGCATAGCTGCGTTCAAAGGATTGCGCGCCAAATCCCCTGGCGCGAGCTGGCCCCACGCACACAACGACGACCTTGACGAGCTGCGCGTTCATGTTGATGACAAAGCCTCCGAGCAGCAGGGTTGATCGTTCGAATGGTTGAGCAAGCCTTGAGCCGCATGAAGAACAGGGCGGCAGTGGCTGCAGCTAGTGCAGCTGCTGGGTGCTTGCAACTGCTGGGCGCTTGCTGAACAGGTCCCCCTCGTGATGGGGGGAGGTACCGCAGTTGGGCTGCCCTGCAAGGTTGCATTTTTGAACAGTTGGTAGTGATGAACGATCACCTGCCTGCTCCTCTTCCAACCTGGTCCGTGATGAGGTGGATGAAGTATCGCCCCATCCGCTAGAGGTGTTGAACACTTGCTGACGAAGAGCAGCCGGCGGTAGTTTTGCCTTAGGCTTGACTATAGCCTGAAGAGGAAGGACCCGTGGAAGCTATCATTGCCCAGGCCCACAAGGAACTAACTGAAAGGCTGGGAAGCCTTTGCCTGGCAAGGCTTCACGAGAAGAATTCTAGCCAAAATGGCAAAGGATATGATCAAATGATCGAAAGACTAGACGACGAGTGGCCCGAAAGCATTTTTCATCACGTAGGAAGTCAAAGTGCGAGTTATCTGTTAAGTGTGTTATAAGTGTTCAGTGTGAAGTGTTAAGTCGAGTGCGTTGAGGCAGTGTGTGGGTCTCTGTGTGTGTGTGTATCTATGTCTGTGTGTGTGTGTATGTGTCTCTCTCTGTATGTCTTTCTGAAGCGCAGGAACACCTGTTTTCTGCAAGTTCTTCACCTCTCGAAAGTCACCTCCGCGTAGTAAAGTTGTACTACAAAGTCGCCAGTTCTCATCTTCCAGCTCCACAGATTGCTCCGTGTACTAAAGTTCTACTACCAAGTCGCCAGTTCTCATCTTCCAGCTCCCCAGATACTCCGCGTACCCAAGTTGTACTACCAAGTCGCCAGTTCTCATCTTCCAGCTCCCCGGATACTCCGCGTACTAATGTTGTACTACCAAGTCACCAGTTCTCATCTTCCCACTCCCCAGATACTCCGCGTACTACAGTTGTACTACCAAGTCGCCAGTTCTCATCTTCCAGCTCCCCAGCTACTCCGCGTACTACAGTTGTACTACAAAGTCGCCAGTGCTCATCTTCCAGCTCCCGAGATACTCCGCGTACTCAAGTTGTACTACCAAGTCGCCAGTTCTCATCTTCCCACCGCCCAGCTACTCCGCGTACTAAAGTTGTACTACCAAGTCGCCAGTTCTCATCTTCCAGCTCCCCAGCTACTCCGCGTACTAAAGTTGTACTACAAAGTCGCCAGTTCTCAGTTCTCAGCTTCCAGCTCCACAGATTGCTCCGCGTACAAAAGTTGCACTACCAAGTCACCCGTTCTCAGCTTCCAGCTCCACAGCTACTCCGCGTACTAAAGTTGTACTACAAAGTCGCCAGTTCTCAGCTTCCAGCTCCACAGATTGCTCCGCGTACTAAAGTTGTACTAGAAAGTCGCCAGTTCTCAGCTTCCAGCTCCCCAGATACTCCGCGTACTCAAGTTGTACTACCAAGCCGCCAGTTCTCATCTTCCAGCTCCCCGGATACTCCGCGTACTAAAGTTGTACTACAAAGTCGCCAGTTCTCAGCTCCCAGCTCCACAGATTTCTCCGCGTACTAAAGTTGTACTAGAAAGTCGCCAGTTCTCAGCTTCCAGCTCCCCAGCTACTCCGCGTACTAAAGTTGTACTACAAAGTCGCCAGTGCTCATCTTCCAGCTCTCCAGATACTCTGCGTACTAAAGTTGTACTACAAAGTCGCCAGTTCTCAGCTCCCAGCTCCACAGATTGCTCCGCGTACTAAAGTTGTACTAGAAAGTCGCCAGTTCTCAGCTTCCAGCTCCCCAGCTACTCTGCGCACTAAAGTTGTACTACAAAGTCGCCAGTTCTCAGCTTCCAGCTCCACAGATTGCTTTCGCGCGCTCGACACGCACGATCTCCGCAGAGGGTTGCGCGCACAGCCGGCAAATCGCACTCTCGCCTGCATTTCGCGCACTCGACACGCACGATCTCCGCAGAGGGTCGCGCGCGGACCGGACGAATCGCACTCTCGCCTGCATTTCGCGCACTCGACAAGCACGATCTCCGCAGAGGGTTGCGCGCACACCGGACAAATCGCACTCTCACCTGCATTTCGCGCACTCGACACGCCCGATCTCCGCAGAGGGTTGCGCGCGCACCGGACAAATCGCACTCTCACCTGCATTTCGCGCACTCGACGCGCACGATCTCCGCAGAGGGTTGCACTTTCGGTTGACGCTGTTCGTCCCGCACTCCGCCTTTAAGAGAGAATTTATAAAGTGGGGGAATGTTTTTTTCATTAGGACATCTCCCGTGCTAGTTTTCCATACTCACACTTGCCTACTCATTGCATGCTTGCATAGTCATTGCGTGCTTGCGTACTCACCCTTGCATATCATGCTTGCATACTTACACTTGCATACTTTGACACTGGCATACTTCGCACTTGGATGCTTTCGCTCTTCCAGTGTGTGTGTGTGTAAGTGTGAGTGTCGAAGTGTAAGTGTTCAAAGGATTTTCCGGAAGAACCCTTCGCAATGCTTTCGGGAATAAAGAATCAAAAAGCTGAACAGCAGAATCTAAAGTGCCACTCATGTCCAGACCAACCTACCCGATACATGAGCACCTGGTCATCAAAGCTTGTTGTGCTCACGGACCCAACCCCATTGCACTCGTCAACTCGCGACAAAAAAAGGCTGCAGGTAAGTTTGGATGGAAAGGAAAAGCAAGGGATGCAGTACGTACATGTCGATGGTATTAGAGGCGTGTCGTGATTGAAGGGCGGGTTGAGAGTGCGACAGAAACAAAAGCTATTATTAGGTTGGAGGCCATCGCTTCTATAGGTTGGAGGCCATCGCTAGTAATTACCTATATAAGCTTAGAAGCTTCACTTTCACTTTCACTAATGCACGGTGCAGCAAAGCGCAGCGCCAGCTTAGTAGCTAAGCGCCAGCGCCAGCTTAGTTGATTTTGGCAACCGCTCTCCTCGTTTCTTTGTTCGGCAGTACCCCTGACCCCTGAAACCGCTATTTAGAGTGATGAACCCTCCATGACCGCCTGCGAACCGCAAAAGGTTGGAGTCAACTAATCTGCAGTGTTTGTCCACCGCTGAACTTTGCGCACTTTCCTATACAAAGTACAATTTTGAAGTTGTTTAACAACTAGATAGGCTCTGAAAAATATTGCTGTCTATGTAAGCAAGGCATGCTCAAGCACTTGGTGGTGCACGCAGATTCTGACTCTTCTGAACCACAACAATGCAAAACAAGAACTCAAAGCAACTGTCCAAAACTTGCGCTGCAAGTCTTTGCATCACAAGGATCAAAACATAGGCATACTCTGTGGAATAGTGCAGATTCATGGGTATGCAGGTGATGATGCTCATCACATGAAGTCCCGCCTCAGCTGTTGTGAATCATTGCAGCATGAGATGCCCCTCCCCAACAAGGCCGATTCCAAAACTGTGCAACGGGACAACGTGTGCGTGTAAGACAACACAAACCTCTTCAAGCCCCCTGAGCTGGCGTTTGTTCAGCCTCAATAAATTTGTCAACACTCCCTCAGTGTCAAGTGTCAAACAAAGATTACAACAATGAAGCACCCGCTTGTGACAAAGGGAATGAGCAGAACGCAATCACGGTAGGTTACTGTCGTAAGCACATTGCTTTCCCCGAGACAAGAACGAACTTTGGTGCTGTAGACAATTGACCGCCAAAACCCAGCATGTCATTTGCCAACAACTGCATGTGCAAAAAAGCGGCAATGAAAACCACCACGGACAAAGGCAAGTTCTTTGACCCACTCTCTGCATCCTGTCAGCAGTGCTTTGACTCTCACATAAAACCCTCGTGACCCCTGTCATGTCTGTCGTGTCCATCTCCGTCTCCTTCAAACGGAACAGTGCCCATGCAAGGTGCGCCAGGCCCGCGCCAGCGCCCAACAAGGATGCATGGCAAATCAAGTTGGCCGACCAGGACTGGCAAGAAACGCACACTTGGACGTAAGATCGGTGGAATGAAATGGAATCCAAAGTGGAAGGTTCACAGAAAGAAAGAAAGAAAGAAAGTTCACACACAAAGAAAGAAACTGCTGTTGTGCTTCCACCAACAATTCCCCATTTTCAAAGTACAGGAGAACTACGTAATTTCACAGCCAGTCAAATTCGTGAAGGAACTACAAGTATGTGAGTGGGGCACTCAAACAGACCTGGCCTTGCTGATCTTGCGGGTGACTTCCGGCAAGCATAGCAACAAGCCCACCAAATGCCTTAGAATAGCATATCGCTGAAGTCCTGCGCCTGCCACGAAAAGTGACAATATCATCGCATGTGAGCTTCAACAAAATTTGCACCACACCACACGTTTGGAATGATTTCGACCCGTTCAGAGCACACTCCCATCCATCAAAATCGCCATTTCAGCTGAGACTTGTCACGAAAACAGAGCTTCGATGCCACACCCTGAAACGCAAGTCCCAATGGCACGGCCACATCCAACACCCCAAAAACACGACTCTCCAAGCGCTAATCCCAATGGAACTGCGCCGTAATCTGCGGATCTCACAAAACGCTGCGCCTGTGCAGCGAAGTGCATCACGTTTCTTGCGCGACATGTCCGTGTCACGCAAATCACAAAAGAATAGCGGCGCAAACTGACACGTGACACGTCCATGCAAAGTCACTTGCAAAAAAAGCTTCCCCAATGGCAGCAAATTTGAGACGCGACGACGACGAGAGACGACGACAGGACGCAAGCCACACGAACACAGCTCCAACCCCCAGACCCCCAACTATAAACCGGAACCCTTCGCTACGCATTCGGAAAAAAAATTTCTCTGAAGCAGGAGTGGTGGAAAGTCTTGAGACAGAGCCTTGCGGAACAGCGCGGGTGGAGAACTGTGTGAAGCAAACCCTTGTGGAGCAGGAGTGGTGGGTAAACAAACCTTTGTGGAGCAGGAAAGCCCCTTGTGAGGCAAGAGTGGTGGGGAAGCAAAACCTTTGTAAAGCAGAAGTGGTGGGGAGAGAAATGTGTGAAGTAAACCCTTGTGAAGCAGGAGTGGGAGAGAACTGTGTGAAGCAAACCTTGTGGAGCAGGAGTGGGGAGAGAACTGTGTGAAGCAAGCCCTTGTAGAGCAGGAGTGGTGGGGAGAGAACTGTGTGAAGCAAGCCCTGTGGAGCAGGACTGGTGGGAAAGAAAAAACTTGTGGAACAGAAGTGGTGGGAAGAGAACTGTGTGAAGCAAGCCCTTGTGGAGCAGGACTGGTGGGAAAGAAAAAACTTGTGGAACAGGAGTGGTGGGAAGAGAACTGTGTGAAGCAAAGTGAAGCAGGAGTGGTGGGAAAGAAAAAACTTGTGGAACAGGAGTGGTGGGGTAGTCCTGCATGTCCGAACCGAAGTTTGCAAAACAAGTCCCACTAACCCGATTAGATGATGCGCACGGAAAGGGATAGAACCAACTTCTCTGGTCTGGCGTTCTTTCGCTCTTCTTCCAGGCACTGGATGCAGCGTTCGAGCCAACTACTCAGTGTCTTGGCACTTGAAAGCTTACTTCACGGAAATCCTTTTGCAAACAAGGCACTGGACGCCCACTAGAAGGGAAGTCGCGCCAAGATCATAGGCCGCTGCGTGAGATAGCTTGGAGAAGTTCACACCTTTCAGATTTTTTTCTGCCTCTATCACTGTCAGTAGACGTCAAATCCATGCTTACTCGCAGAACCATCTTTCATGTTTCACACCAGACTCCAAAAAGAGCAACATCTAGGGATCTGGACAGCTTTCATGTGCGTTGATAGTGCTGAATCTCTGCAGAATTTGGTCATGTAAACAAAGGAATTGGCATTGGGTTGCAATATGAACTTCCAGTCAGTTGTCCGTGTAGACCGGACATTGCGTATTCCATGAACACTAGAGCTACTCATGCTTCGAATTGCTGATGGACATGTCTTGCCTGGAGGCGAGTCTCGCTGAATTCCTTCCAAGTAGAAGGGGCTGCTGTCCTGCGGAAAGCCCAAACTCCACCCGCCAGGTTCTGAGAAAGTCGGCGAGATCGTAGCGATTGCTGCGAGAAATAGACATGCAAATGAAGCCGCAGAATGTCCATGTCCTTCAGCCATGATGCCACAGATTTGCGGCCTCCAAAGACCAAAGGTGCGCCAACAAACCTGGCAAACGAAGGTTCGAGGACGCGAGGCCAAGGGGTGTGCAAATACAACAGTCAGTCAGACTGCTTCACCTTGTGACCACCGAAGCCAATCACAAAAAGGTGTCTGAAATCCACCACAAAGGAGAAGCGCTCGCACTAATGATTTGGTTCCTAGTAGCAAACATTGCTCCTAGTAGTAAGGCCAGGAGCCCCTAGTAGCGTCTTTGCTCCTAGTAGCGATGCCAGGAGCCCCTAGTAGCTTCTAGCCCTAGAGATTTGGTTCCTACTCCGCCGCAAAGTAGCAGAGTGTAAGTGGCCAACTCCAGAACTTGCCACTGCAAGGAGGGCTCGGAAGGCTCCGGCTCACCCGACGAAGCTTCCATCGTTCTGTGCAGCTGGTAGCGGTGATGCGAATTCTGATGATGCTGGTTATAAGTTATCATGATGATTTCGCATCCCGTTCCCTGTTCTGGGTCATGTACAATTTGGGTTTCCTGTGAATAGTTCCGTCGTACAGCACGAGCTTGAAGCATTCTTCCATGAATCCAAAGCAAGAACCTGCATGTACTCCGGGGACGATGGAATTATACAGAATTATTCTGCTGTCTTTGGTCTCAAATTTGCACCATAGGCTTGAGTCTTGGTGGCAAACTTAGTGCTGATCATGAACAAGTTTTATCATTTTTGAAGGACTCCAAGCAACATCATGTTCCACAAGTTTGTCGTGTGCCCCCTGCAAGCAAAAAGTTTGTCGTGTGCCCCCTGCAAGCACAATTTTTTTGCTGGGGGTTCTTGTGACATGCCAAACGCAAAACGCGGCATGGTGAAGGTGCTTAAGCAAGTTCCACCACAACCACATTTAATGTAACTACCTTGCAAGCTCTTGGAGAAACTGCCACCGAGCCTTTGTCTGGAACCTGATCACTAAATCCACATGTGGAGTTGCTAAGTGGAACTTGTACAGCATTCCAGCAGTTGCGCTGAGTTGGATTTTGCACGATGTTCGTGCAGCTGAATTGCTGGGGTTGGTTATTCCCTGTAGCTTTGAATGAACAAGAGCTTCCCAGCTTCCCTTCCACTTCAAATGACGCTTCCGATTGGTGCAAATCACCTTCCAAGTACGAGGAATTACACAGCCCTTCTCTAGCAAAGCACTGCTGCTTCTCTAAGCCCTAAGCTTTTGAGTCAGAAAATTTCACTGACATCATGCACTCCGAATTACAAGAAATTCAAAGGTGGTCGGTGGTCTAAATAGAATTAGCTGTTGAATGGTCTTCTCGCAAACTAGAAAAAAGGTGATAAACTTTGACAAGCAGACTTAACAGGAACTCTAGGCAGAAGCTACTGGTAGCTAGAAGCTATTAGGTTGAAGGCCATTGCTACTGGACGCCATCGCTAGTAGGTTGGAGGCCATCGCTGCTAGGTTTCTTTTGATCAGAGGAGCTTCTCGCTCAGAAGCATCGGAAGGAGACTCCGTCCCCTGTTAGCCAGTTGGCCTCTCTCCGTCGAATCTGACACAAACTGCTCAAAAGACTAAAAGCAAAGAAAGAAAAGCTCAACTGATATAAGTCAAACATTAATGGACCAGTGTGACATTCTTCCACCTGCCTGCTCGTGCCAGCCCTCCACATGTTTGTCAAGAAATCTGGCGAGCAAAATGTGTAGAGTTGTAAAATGTCGTACACCTCTGGAGTATAGCACGGCACGGCAACGAAAGTCGGAACCATTTATGCGATAAACAGCAGCGCACGTGTTCATGGGCTTCACCAAGTCTTCACCTAAGCATGATTGTCACACCGTGCAGGAACTGATCTGTCAATAAAGGTTCATGTCAATGTGTCTTTGTCAAATGGTTTTAGATATAAGATGTTTAGATCGAAAGCAAATCGATTCCATCTGAAACGGTGATGTTGGCAGGTTCGGATCCCACAGGATCCTCAACACCAATGTCTGTGCGATTCTGCGCACTGCATTCCGTGACCCCCATACCCGCATGCAAGGGACGAGAACAGACTCTGTATGTTCTTTAGTTTATCAGCAACCAGACTCGACACTGAGAAAAGCTGAGAACTTCTTAGAACCAACAGGAGATGAGTTTCCCTTCGTTCTTCTGGCCCTGACCCCGGCCATCTTCTTGTTGATTCATCGTTCGAAGCGGGTTCCGAAATGTTTCCGGGCACAGCACGCAAAGACCAATGGTTGTGCGTGGCATTGGCCGGGAATATGCCCTGCCATGGGTGCTTCGAACATGTTGGGTTCCAACAACGCTTGTCTGATACATCTCTCAATCAACCACCTCGATCGATGGATGCCCCAAGTCGATGGCCTCACCACAAGGAAAAATGCAATCGAAGCACAACTGCTTCCAAAATCCTGGAAGGCATCCATCGACCTATATGGATTGAACAGTATATTATAGTCAAAGAAAGATCAGTCAAGAAACTTCCATCGTTGCGAACAGTTAATTAGCTCAGGCAATAGTTAGCGCAGGCAGAAATTAGGGTAGACCAGTGGCTAAGTTCAAAAGTTAGCATTGATATATAGTAGATAAGTGAAGAACTAGTTAATTTCACGAGTTACCGTAGATAGCGCCTACGGCCTAGGTGAAGAGCTAGCTAAGCCCACGAGTTAACGTGGACAGTAGCTGAGTGAAGAGCTACCTAAGTCCACAAGTTAGCATCGATCCGCTAAGTGAAAAGCGAGTGAAATCCACGAGGCCGCGTGTGTCCAGGTGGACGGTGGAAATTGTGAAACTGCCGTCGTAAATCGAAGTAGAAGTTGCCAAGATGTGTATGCTGTCGTCGAAAATCCAGGTTGAAGCTAGCAAAGTGTGCAACTGCTGTCAAAAATCTAGGTGGAAGTTGCCAACATGTGTAACCGTCGTGGAAGCTGCCAAACAGTGCAGCCATCGTCGATAATCTAGGTGGAAGCTGCCAAAGCGCGTAGCTGTTGTCGAACATTCAGGTGAGCGTGGATGGTTGAATGTAAGGCAAACTTCTGTGTTTTCTCAGCGAATGTGCGCGCCAACAAGTGTGAAAGCTAGATACGCTGGGTGCAGCGCGGTTGCGGCGCGTGGGGCGACCTTCGTGGCAGGCTGGGCATAGCTTTCCGTTTGCAAGTGGGCGTTGCCAAAGTGTGTAAAGGTGGAAGTTGCCAAAGTGTGCAACTTGTCGTCCAAAATCCTATCTTCCCAGAGTTAGCTTTTTCCCTTCCCGCTATGGTGTTTTCCCTTCCCACCTTTGCGGTGTCTTCCCGCTAGGGTTTGGTTTTACCCTCCCGCCTGCATAGTGCTTTTCCTTCGAAGACACGGAAACGGGTTGGGTGTTTTTTGTTCACAGTTTGATGCCTTCCTTTCTCACAGTGTTTTCCCTTCCCGCTTGCACAGTTTCTTCCCTTTCAAGTATGAGATTTGGGTTGGGTGTTTTCTGTTCCCGCTTTGGTGTTTTTTCTTCACACTTTGATTTATCACGGTCTAACCTTCCCAAATTAGTGTTTCTCCCTTCTTACTATGGTCTTTTCCGTTCCCACTTGTGCGATGTTTTCCCTCCCCGGGTTTGGTGTTTTCCGTTCTAACTTCTGCTTCATGCTTGGAGTGTCTCCCTCCCGATGTTTGTGTCTTGTCGCGCCGTGTCTTGTCTTGTCTTCCCTTCTCTTCTCTTCTTTTGCCTTAGTACGCATACAAGACAAACAAGACATGAAAGACATGCACGACCTGCAAACAGCACCAACTCCACACCAGATTTGTCCTTGTCCACATTTTTGCTAAGCGGTGCCCACCTTTGTCGCGTTTTAGCAGATTTCCTGAGAGGTCGTCGGCAGCTTGCGGGCGTAGGCCTAAAGAAGCCTGGAGAAGCTTGCGCCAGTGCAACACAAGCAGATTTCCACGTTATGGTTCACCCCAAAAAAAGCTGGAGGGGGAGGGCGCAGCGCCTCTGCCAGCAAACAAAAAATGCGCTAGAACACAATCTGTTGTGCATTGTCTCGTCTGTTCCGAGAGGTGGATTGGTGTTTGTCATTGTTCCATTGCACAAAATGCACTTTTCCCGCATTTCTTTTCCATATTTGGTTACCCCTTGTTCGGTCCAAGGCTCCCGCTGCGCATGCCTGCTTAGCATTTCCTTGCTGGATCCCACGCTCCCCTCCGGGAACATAAAGCAAAAGCCGGAACACAAAACACCGGCAGGAACCCGAAGCACCATTCCAGGAACCCAACACCTGTATTCAGGAAGTGAAACTACTGTTGCAGGAAGGGAACACACCGACACATAGAAACGGAAAACGTCGCAGGGAACACAAAACACCAATACAGGAGCGTAAAACACCTGTACGCTGGAAGCGAAAACCATCCATGTAGGAACCAAAAGCCCCTTTTTCCGAAACTGCCGCCACTGCCTGCCAAGCAACCCCACGGGACAACCCTCAAGTCGCAATGTCAATGTCTTGCTGTGCGTGCGTTCTTCACAAGAAAACAATAAAAAGCTTCCCCGCCCAATCAACCGCCGTGCTTCAACCGCCTTGGCGTGGTTTTTGTTGAAAAACATGTTTTTATTGAAGCCTTTTGGGTCACACGGGTCACACAAGCTCTTGGTCTTCGGGATCGGGTCGAGGTGGATTTTCCCGGTTCCTGGACACATCCACGTGGCCGTTGGATACTTTTCCATGGGTGCTATTGATGTCAAGGAAAAATACCCAAACACCAGGCCTGATTCGCACAGCGGGGCATGATGGCATGATGACACTGGCAACCGAAACGCCAAACAACAAGCACCCACGCGGACACCGAAAACACCAAGAACATGTGGCAACATGTTGGAAGGCAACAGGCACTCCACGCCTTAAACTATGCAAGCAGGAAGGGAAAACACTGTGGGAAGGGACAACACCAAACCAAGAACAAAAAAACGCAGTCCAAGTACCATCTGGGAGGTCTGGCAACTTTGTAGTACAAATCAAATCTAGTGCAGGAAGCAGATTCTGAGAGGTCTGGGCTCAGAACTGACAACTTTGTAGTGGCCGCAGCTACGCAACTCTGCAGTACAAACAGTGCGAGAAGCAGCTCTTGGGCCTCCAGGATGAGAACTGGCAACCTTGTAGTACAAATGTAGCGGAAGCAGCTTCTGGGAGCTTTAGTTCTGCAGCCCAAATATGGCAAAGTTACGTCCGTGACGTCGCTATTCCATTCGGATCGGAGCGGGGCTTGGTGTGACGTGATTGGCTCTAGGGATCTCTAGGGGCTTGGTTGACCACATGCATTCGTCGCAGAGGCGAGAGGCATTTCGCAAAACAATGAACCTCTTCTCGAAAGTTTCTTTACAGATTACTTGTATATCTGGACGCAGGCCGCCTTAATGCAAGCGACAAATAATGCAAGATTGGTGCATCCTCCACGCGCCTTTTTCAAAAGTGCTCTGCCATGATACGGTTTGATCACCTGCGTGGCAAGTCTAAGTCATCATATCCAGCAACTCGAAATCCAAGCTGCTACCCCAAAGTTGAGCCAGGGGCTCTTTCAAACCCTCTCACAACACCTTTGCAGAGCCAAACAACAGCGCACAACGCTCTCCATAGATTCGAAACCTGAGCTAGATGGCAGTTTGGGCAGCTTCTTCTAAGTCAAGGCCCAGTGGCCAGGCCTTGTCAAGCTCCCCATGGAGGATCAAGATGGGCACCTCGTGACTCATGACGAAAATACAGCCAGGATTGCCAAGGTCGAGTCGTCTCGCGAATGAAACAACCCAAAAGTTCCGAGACAGTCCAGGAGCATCAGCAACTTCTAGCGCAGATGGAGCTTAGGGTGTGGCGAAACAGCAGCCTGGAGGGACCTGACCTGAGTGCAACATCTTTGCCTCCCAGTCGACGGAATCCCGGAAAAAAATGTTTAAAAAAAACTCAATCACTTCCATGGACTCCAGCAGCGCTTTAGCCCGCTAGGCTCTGCCTCCTTACTTAATTATGTAGGCGTCTACTTAATTAAGTAAGCTACTAGGCTAAGTTGGCTTCTAGGTAGGACGCAGGATAGCCTCACGCTCGCAAGAATGATTTGGTTCCTAGATTTTTGGGGAAACTTCACTTACTTAACTTCAGCAGCCGAAGCGAACTCAGTGCATGAAGCAAACTCGGCAGCCTGAGGCAGGAACACAGCAGACTCAATGCTGCCATGTTGTTGTAGCAATCTGATGGAACCAGCAGGCTACCTTCAGGCCACGATGTCTGCGGCAAAAATAAAGGGTGTTTCCCAATGGACTGAGCTCTATTCAGGGCGAACTCTGCCGGTGTTGAATGCTGAATTCTCTGCTAGATGTTGAACCAACATTTGCAGGTTCTGGAAGTTTGGGAACTGGAAACAGACCTTCCAGCAACAAGCACAGCAATGTGCTTCCGCATCAAACCCAGCTTTGTAGGTACAGTATATATATATATCCTTTCAGACTTGGGATTTAGACAAACCTTTGGCGTCTTTCTCGAAGGCTTTCCCACCTGCAAGCCCAACATAGTCTGCGGCCACTTGCCGGATGCTAATAAAAGGACACCTTGCATTGCATCCAAGGAGATGTCTACTCAGAACCACAATAGCAAACATCACTCAAAAATGCGTCATTGTTAGGATTCCTGCAAGGAGACCCCTTACCTTGCACTCTGGAGCAGCTTACCCTGGTTTTCATTCGATATATCCAAGCTGCTGGAGGACGATGCCACCAATTTCCCAATGAAGCCTTGGGCAGAAGACCGGACCTATTAATCTGACCCAAAAGTTGAGCACAGAATTCCAAATACCCTGTACCACACAGCAAACTATCCTCAACTTGATCGTGTCATCTGCAAGGCCACACTAAATCCTGACTGTAGCCATGGTACAGGTCATAGGCACGCTTGGCCAAATGCAGAACCGGCCTGAGACATGTCAATGGGATCAAACCACAAAAAACTACACGAACCAGTAGGAATGGAAGTGAAGCATAATCGATCGTGCGAGCTGACATCAAACAATCAAAGCTACTAGCCTGGAGCCAACCCCGTACAGATTGTCCACTTTTACGTTGAACTGGTCTGCGTGCCACTCCAAGTCATCTCTAGGCCACCGGCGCACTGCCAAGCGAACGACCATGCAGGATGATCTGCGCCGTCGAGGTGCCAGCAAGACAGTGCTTACTAGCAGCGGTGCCAGCAGCAGCAGCAGCAGCAGCGGTAGTGGCTCTGGGCACTCCCACAAATTGATGGCGCCGGCGAAGAATATGTGTTTTTAGGTTGCCAAGACCCAAGATATAAGACCTTTAGCAGTGGCATTTCTCATATTCGACCCCAAAATCGCCAGCTCCAAGCAACGCACAAATCGGGCACAACCACGGTATCAACCAAGCAAAAGAACACCATGGAATGACTTTAAAAGAACTGGTCAACCGGCATCCAGTGTGGAAAAGCCCATGTCCGGTGCTCGCCTGAGATGGGTCTACCTCGAGGACGTGGCAACAATAGAGCCTCAGAAAAGCGCTTCCAAGTTTCCACAGACCCAAAGGCCCTGTTAGGTCTCCAAGTGGCTCTTTGTCTTCCTCTGTTCATCTCCCTCTCTTGCTTTCCCTTTCTTAGCAGACCGAGGTTGCTTTACCAAGAAAATGATATGAGGACCGCTTTTCTGATCTCTGATCTCAAAAAAGCATCATAAATTGGCTTCACTCTGTGTCCATGTTGTTCAATGCTTTCGTAAGCAACCTTCTTTCTGAGTTGCCAGGCAAGGCGTGCATCGCAACATCTGCCACTCCTTCGAAGCTCACCTTCATGGACAGCAGAAACTTTGAAGTGGGGTCATTGTCTGTTCGAGAATTGCAGCCAGGGCTTTGTGAATTTCTTCAGGACCCTCAACTTGCAATATCTTCTGCTGGCATTCTTCTTGAGGAAAATGCTCACAGTAAAAGACAAAGCTTGATTGCGCCGCAGGACCTCCTGGCAACCTTTGGCTTGTGAACAAAGGCCATAGCCCGGATACTCCACGGCCAGCAAGTTGCACTGAGCAAAGAAACTCTCACGGGCAGCTTCAGACAGATACTCTCCGGATGCAAAACCCAGTAAATGTTCAAGAAAGCTGCTCGAAAATCTGCGAAGCGACTCAAAAACGGCGACACGTAGTGACGACGTCGTGGACCCAAATTGTTGTGCCTTCAACACCTGCCCAAACTGCTGAAGGTCTGCTTCGATCAGCTGCAAGTCCTGAAACACACCTCCGCATCCTTCCGCTAAAGCCAACCGAGTACCATGACAGGCAACAAGAGAAAAATAGAAGTTAATGTGAGACTCTTCTGAGGCATCTTGTGGCCATGACTGCAAGCCTACTCTATTGGAGTTCTGGTGTGTTTAGCTACACAAATGTTTCTAATTATACATGAGACAAAATTCGATGGAATGTTCACCGCCGGCCCCATTCATTTGCGAATCAACCGCAGCAAGCAATGAAGTTGAACGTCAGAAAAGTATTGCTTCTTTCAAGGTCCTCCGCGTTTCCGTGGAAGAAGATCACTGTCCTGCTTCATGTCCAAAAAGTTGTTCAACAAGCACACGGTGCTTTGAGTCCAACTGTCACATGGATGCCTTCTTTTTCGAAGCCCCGTCCTCCTGCTCCCGGTCCCCTCCGGAGCAGGGAACCACAAGAACGGCCGGGTCACCTGAAAGACAATCAACGTCTTCGTTTATGTGACTACAAGGCATTGTGCGATTGAGTCTTGACCTTTTCCCCCCTCTCCTATATTATTGGGCTACAAGGCACTTGATCAGTACAAGCCTCTTTCCTGAGCCCCCAAGCTCCACCACCTGGAAGCTTTGCAGGCCGCTGATCCCAAACAATGTTCTTGGAGGCCTGCCACACATCTGAACTTATACACTGTGATGAATGAAAGACACCATTACAAGGCTAATGTTATTTTGTTCTTAGCCGCAAATCTGCCCACATTTTAGATGCAAAGGAATTCTGCCGCATCAGGTTGAAAGTTATGTGATGTGTCAAAAAAATCATCAGCCCAGCATCACAGGTTGGAGTCGTTTGTTCTTTACCATTGGAGTTTAGGAGGCCGCAGGTTGTCGATTTACTGTGAAATGCAAATATGTGCGCTCGTCAATATGCAAGAAATAACAAAGTAACATAGTTACATTGTCAGCATCATGTTGAACAACCTCAGAAGAGTTGTCCATCGAGTGGGCAGTCTGGCATGGTGGGGCAATGTGAAGAATTGGCAGTCGCCACAAGGCCACAAATACTCTAGATTGGATCTCAACCTTAATTCAAAAATACACTCATGTGACTCATGTGCAGAAGATGTTTGTCAAGATGATTGTGCTCAAATCTTTTCTGGATTGATTGGCATCAGCCCCACAGGAAAGTTCTTTTGTCGACGGAAGGGTCCCATGCACTGTCACTGCACCTGGGCTCCACTTTTTGCTGGAAGCTCTGGCGGCAGGAAAACCTCCACTGGAAACAGCCCGAAAGCTGGAATCAAATAGAATAGAGTTGGTTGAGTTGAGACATATGTCGCAAATCATTCATCAATGTGATCCAATCCAACATCCAATTCATGCAAACCAACAGAGTGAAAGGTATCGGGTTTCATTCCAAACCATTTGAGGCTCCGACAAAAGAAGCAGCAAGGCTGAGGCCCATTATAGCCAAGGGACTGAAACAACGTCTGTCCAAAACAGTTCTGCCTAAATTGTTTGACTCGTGGTTCATGGCCTCTTCGTTCTCTTGTTGAAACAATCCAACGCCAAAAATCTGTACTGTGTATACTGATCTCTGCGAAGGGTGCGGTGATGGTCTCAATTGTTTTGCAATCCGCTTTACAATCAAAGGTGATGGTCTATTGCATTGTGTGCCATGTTGGTGTCGATTTGGAAAGGCTCTGAAACTCAACTAGCGTTTTTTGGTTTGAAACAAAGGCATTGAAACACTTGCCTCCATTCATGCCTGACGACGGGTGCAGTATTCCAAAAAGAACAAGTAGTACTTTGTCTGGACAAGTTCATGCATAGGTCGATAAGTGAGATGGTGATTCACAGATCAGCAAACCTAAACAATCAATCAGATCGCCTTTTGACCTTCATGTTTGCATTCTTTGAAACAGTTAAATTTGCCGGCCATGATTGATTATGTCATTAATGCATTTTTAAAGAATAAGCATTATCAGCATCATGAATATTTAAAACTACTGCATAATTTGCAAATGTTGAGTTGTTTGGACATATTTAGTTAGTATTGTTTGCAGTTAATTTTGTTTGCAACAGAAAACGAATGCAATGTCACACAACAACCCTACCCACCGCAGTGTTCTCAGAAAGGTTTGGTTTTTAGTGTGATTGGAGACTCCTCACACCTCTCGCGTTTGAATTCGGAGTTTGCATTTTTCCTTGTCATCAAAGGACCAGGACCAATGCAATCGCCACACAACGGGTTCTCGGTGTCTGGAAAAACGATGAATTTTGCTGGCAACGCTCCTTTGGTTTTCACTTGGCTTTATTCTGGGTCACTTCCAGCACGGCTTTTGTATTTGACGTCACTTGGTGATGCGTCCTCAAACACTAGCGCACGGCTTTGATAGTCAGAACAGGAAGTGATAAACTTACTTCGCTTTCTTGTCAAGGTCACTGGCTGAAAAAACAAGTTTCACAAAACATGCGTAACACCTGCAAAGCTAGTCAAACTCTTGGACAGCAAACTGATGGGATGGCAGCGCCAAGTCCATCAGGAAGATTCCAACTAAACACGATAGCAAGGACATTGACGCACACAAAACTTCCATTGCTACTTCTCTTTTGTTTGATGCCAGTCTAGACCAAACATGGCCTTGGGTCCAATGACACAAGAGCGACAAGGTCAGGGCCCTGACACGGCTGCCATTATAGGGTGTTTGCTGCTGCATAGGGAACTCATTGAGGCATGTGGCATGGTGTACATGATAGTTGATAATCGTGCACCGGAGGAGGTTGGACACTGGCCTGCATTTGCCCAGTGGTGGGAGGCCAGAAGAGCCCTTGTAGGACCTCAGCAAGAGCGGACCGACATTTTGTGGGTGCAGGCTACTCATGCCAATGGCTTGCGGGCAATCCCTTACTACTGGGCCGGGGTATTTGTTTTGGAAGCAGCCAGGTTCCTGTTCCCCAAAGTACATTTTGGGCTTATTGACAATGACTGTGTTCCAGTCACACTCTTCGAAGTACAGGACCTCATTGCCTTAGCAGAGAGTCAGTTTAGGTGGCCTGACCTGATAGGGTATCGGGACCCGGATCTTGCCAGAAGCAAGCCAGGGATGCTGCTTTTCACAGAGGCACATCTTGAATACAATGCAGGCCTAGTCATTTCTATCGGCAGCCCAAACCGTCCTAGTCCGATTGAATCAACGTCGACAGCAGAGGACTTAGCAGAAGAGCTGGAAGACTACCGCCAACAACTCCTGGACATGGCTGCTCCGCCGGAATGTCCGACCGAAGCCTCACAAGGTGGTTCCCTGTTCACCCCGCTCATTGGTGCGCCAATGGAACACTCGCTGGACTTGGCCGTTGTGTGGGCACTGTATGGTACATACATGTGCTATCAATTTTGGCCGATGCCAGGTAGTGGGCAAAGGGACAGCAGCGACCACCAGACTCTGGCAGCGATCACGTGGCCGAAACGAGCCCACCCAGGGTCAGTGTTGCCGCATCTTGAAGGACCCTGTAAGGCTTTCTCCCTCCCCGGGGAACACCTTTTTCAGGCAAGTCGAATTGCACCAGATCGCATGAGGCCAGTAATCTTCCATGCCTTCGGTAAAGCAAAACTAGACGCACCAGGCCAGCTAGCTCGGCTAGCGCGCCTCGGGTGGCAAACCCTGCCAATTGCGCTATTAGGTATGCCGCATTGCCCTGCGGCGTGGTTTGAGGAGACATGGAAACCAATAGGCGGGTGCAGCTTCACGGGAGGGCCCTGTGCACTTACTGGCAACAGTGCGTTTCGATGCTGCCTGCTGCTACAGTGGCATGCCATCGTTGTCCCTCCAACACCCCATGCGAGAAAAGAAGAAGACACTGATGTCGAATCGGCTCGCACTGTTTCTGAAACGGATCAAACTTTTTTGGAGCGTTCGCTCTTGGCTGCCGCTGCCGACCAGAACTCCCGTGAGTCCGGGTCCAGCCCGCCAGAGACATTGCAAACAGAGGAACTGCCGCGTCAGAGGATCCAGCTAGACACTCCTGAAGGTTTGATTGCTGGCCTCGGATATGCTCTAACGCGCCCTGGTCACATGTTCCAGTTCCATCAGGCAAACACGGCTGAAGAACGCTCTGGCCTGACAGGGGTGCACCAGTGGAGTATCATGCTCCCAACAAGCGCAAGGGTAGCTCAAGAAGTATATGAGCCCCTGATTGGGATCCACTATCCCATGCTCTGCAGCGTGAAGAATAGCAACTGGCAAATAGGCACTGGCTCTATCCGTGCAGAGGCCCGGTTGGCGACAGGGTTTCGCGTTGTAAACTGGGTTCATGACGGCTCGTGTCCGGAAACAAGAGCGGCTCCGCCACCAGTAGCAGTTAGCACCATATAACGGCAAATCGAGCAGTGGCTCCCCATGCCAGACCGAGAAACCGACAGTGTTCTCGCCCTGACTACTAGGACACTCAGTGCTCAACATTTGCAAGGTTTCTTCAAGCAATCTGGACGACGAGCCAATGCAGAGACGGCAGTTAAAGTGGCGGGAGCAACGGCCAAGCACTGCATCGTTTTACACGACCAATCCAACTTTCTCAGCGGCACCTCGCGAAGCACCGACTTTGATCACGAATGCTACACGCGTGCTAATGTTGCGTACAGTCGAGCCACAGACCTCACGGTCTCTGCGTGCCCGGTCAATATGCATGGAACTACAGGAGTGTCACAGGTCCTCTCTGCCCTGATCCATGGCGTGTGCACAGTGTACACGAACGATCAGCAGACATCCAAAGCCTTTGTGAAGGGCAACTTCCCGGTGAAATGGAAGTGGGTGTCTGAATCCACGGCTGATTTCCTCGCTGCGGTGGAACCACAGCCACTCTGGACTGGATCGCTCCCTGTCTGTCTTGTCGAGTACCACCAGGGCCTCTCCCGGCGACTCAGGCTGGTCCTCACGTCGCAAACTCACCTCACCAAGGGGGAACTGTCGCTACTAGACGAGCAGCACCCTGTGCACGGAAAAATACATAACAGTGGCCTGCTATTTGGCTATGCAGCTGACCGATGTACAGAGCCAGATTGGTATGTCTTGCCGGATGGGCACCAGCCAAATGCCTGGAAACTGTTGCATGCGGCCCGCAAGGGGGCTGACCGCTTCTGTGTGGGCAGTGGTCCACGCTATGCCCCTTGACAGGCTGGCGATGCTGCCAACAAAGCCAAGGATAATCAATTCGAGCCGCTCCACAAGATTTATTTCTATGATGCGTGGAGGTGGAAAATCGAACTGAATCAGCCAGACTCCCCTCTACGCCTTCCCCCTCGGCCAGGTTTGTTGCAAAATGGCTGCTACTGGCAGCACCCACCAGAGCGTGTTGATAGCGCCACATGCACACAAAACACACAGGAAAGTGCTGCCTGCGCAGAAGTTAGCCTCACTGAGACCAGCTCAGCAGAGAGTGAGGAGATTTCACCTCCCAGTGAAGTACCGGAGCCTGCCAGCCAAGCTCAGGCAACGGAATCCCCGACCTCCCCTATCATGATTGGCAGCACAGAAGAAGAGCAAGTGGGCTCCGAGACGAACGCAACAGAGCCTTCTGAAGAAGTGTCACCCATAGAAACAATTGCCTCTGCAAGTGAAGAAGATACGGCCCAGGAAGAGCGGACGGCTCCGACCCCGACGAGTCCGGCCACCAACAGTGCGGCTAAGGCCACTGAGCAGAGAGAATTGCCAGAAGGGGCGCAAGCAGGAGAAACGGAGAGCAGCACCACGGACGAGATAATCGACCTCGATGCCAGTACTGGTGCCATCTTTTTTTTTGCACGGGTAAGGGCGCTATGTGTGCCGAGACCGTGATGAATTCACATGAGGGGTGCGAGGAATGAGCCTGACCAAAGGAAGCAAAGGAACCAAAAGGACCAAAACACCCACAACCCAACAGCAAAGCACCAAAACAAACCCAAACCAACCACAAAAACCAAGCAGATCAGGCTCGTGTCCGCTCAAGACGTGAAAAAGCTGACCAGACACAGGAGTGAAACGGGGCGATGAATTCCTTTCAAGCTGCTCTCAGTACAGGACGTCCAGGACGAAACTGCATTCTGCTTGTTGGCTGGCAGGTATCCCACAGGAGATGCAATGCGTATCAGTATGCATGAGCGAGACTGAAAGCAAGAGTGAGGTTCAAATCAGGTTCTTTTTAAGTCCATTCGGAGCTGGGCGCGACACAACTTGTATCAAAGAATGCGTACGTGCCATAGACCATGTGAGTAATTTCAAGGTGACCAATTCAGTGTTGAGAACTCCTCACGCATGCGGGACAAAATTTCAATCTGCTCGTGTCCTTGGCTTGGTCATTGTGCAGCCTGGGATACCTGTCGGGGATCAAGGCAGGAGTGACAGCGGGCATTGCAGCCTCGCAGCCATGTGGAGCAAAGACCCTGGACAAGCGAGAAGTGGCAGGAGGTTCAGGATTGATGCCTGACCTCTCACAACAGCCCCTGCAAA